GACTGCAGCTCCCCCCAATTCATCCAATAGTTCATCGATAGTAGGTATTGGGAAGCTATCATTGATGGTAATGGCATTCAAGGCCCTATAATGGATGCACATTCGCCAAGTATTATCCTGCTTCCTTACCAACAATACCGGTGAAGAAAAAGAACTTTGAGAATGTTGTATAAAACCAGCCGACAGTAAATCAGATACTTGCCTCTCAATCTCAGATTTCTGGTGGTAACCATAGCGGTAAGGTCTAACATTTACAGATTTTGAACCCTTCTCCAAGTGAATAGCATTATCTAAGCCCCTAAAGGGAGGCAGCTCACGAGGAATCTGAAATATAGCTTGGTACTCCACTAGAATCGGCCAAAGCTCTTCAGGTATCTTGTCCTTAATTGTAAACAATTCTGAGTTTGTTGATGACTGATCCAGTACTGGTTTCCACTCTAAGACATTGCAATGAGATATTTCTACATCACAAGCAGTACTGGTTGCTTCAGACCTCCCTTGTTGGTTGACACCCTTCAAAATAACTTGCTTACCTTGCCATTGAAACTCCATTGAAGGTTCCACTTAATCATGTGTGACCTTACCCAGCTGCTGTAACCAAGGCATTCCCAGAATGATACTAAGATCAACCAACTCTAGCACCCAAAAATCAATTAAAAAGACATGACCCTGTAGATTAATGGATACACTAAGGCACCTTCTGTCATTCATCAAAAACTCTCCATTTCTCATGAAGACACACAGTTTCTTAGCACGAGTGATTGGTAACCTCAAAACACCAGCTAATTCCTTTTGAATGAAATTATGAGTACTCCCTGAATCAACCAGCACAGCCACCTCACAATTTCTAATAACAGAGGAAAACAATAAAGAACGTGTACCTGAGTGATCATTAAGTGCATGCAGAGCACCATCATGTGTCACCTTCGTAAAATCTTCGGATTGCCATACAATTTCTTCTTCCTCATCAGCTTCTTCAGATAGATTATTAAAATCTCCCACCATCAAGAGCAATTTATTCTGGCACCTGTGTCTAGAGTTCCACTTCTCATCACAATAATAGCATATGCCCAATTCCCGTTTCTTGTTTAAATCAGCAAGTGAAAATTTCCTCATCGTTGGTGGAGCTGGTAATGCCAATTTGGGATTGGAAGAACCAAGTTGAGGTATAGGAAGAACAGAATTTGTACTGAATGAGACTGAAGCAGTAGTCACAGAAGAGATGGGAACCGCTGGAGTGGAAGGAGAAAACTTGTTAAAGAATTTCTTACCACTTGAAGAGAAAGAATTGCGAAGCTCCAGATGATGATCATCATAGGCTAATGCATACTGCATAGCATGGTGTAAACTCACAAGGGAACGAAGTTGAATAGCACTTCTGAGTTCTGATTGTAACCATAAGATGAAAAAACTCATGTACAAATCATCATCAAGACTAGGTACTTGATTAATTAACACCTCGAATTGCTGAATGTAATCACCAATGCAGCCGTTTGTGTTAATTTTGACAGCACACCTTTGAGATTCATATAAGTAGAAGCTCCAAACCTCTCACGCAGGGATCATGTCAAACATCCCCAAGAACGAATCAACCCGCTACTGTACATCCACTGGTACCATGCTGCAGCAGAACCATCCATACGCAACCTAGCAACTGGAACTTTAAACTCTCTGGGAACTTGTTGAAGGAAAAAAAATAATTCGGTACAGAAAATCCAATTGTTAGGATCCACACCAGAAAAAATAGGGATTTCTAACCGAATCGCTTTGGTTAGGTTCCTGGAATCAAGTTCTGCTCGAACATGATTGTGAGGTTGGGGATCACGACGAACACGATCTTCTCGTCCCATCATCGCATCATGCAACTGTTGAAGTTGTGTTGTCAAAGATGCAAACTGAGCTTGACTTTCCACGCGATTCTCAACAAAGCGTTGATCGACCCGATTCTGGAAAGAAAGATTCTCCTCCTTATCACGGTCAACCCGTAGCTGCAAGGCAAAAAATTCGTCCGCCAATTCCTGGAGACGCATCGTGAATTCTAAGATGAAAGCACCAATTGTTAGGTGAAAACCTAACTGAAGAGGAAAGTAAAGAATGAACAAAGACTTTTTTATTATTTGCGTAAAAAACAATGCTTACAATCACTGTACCTTTTATACTCTGATATACACTACTAACTTGTAACTAACTCAGGTTTACTAACTCTATACATTTAACTTGCTTTAACAGATGCTACAAAGTCAAGTAACTCAAGCTACAAAGTCTTGGAGTCTCACAGAGTGTTGTCTTACTCTATTAGATGTCCTACGTGTAACAGAATAAATACGTACTTGGCGGCCGAACAATTTGAACAGTTTGTCCTCCAATTTGAACAGTAGTGCGAGAAACGTAGTCAATGAGCAAAAAAATTCAAATGAAGTCTTATTCAACGGCACATAAAGTATGTAATAAGGAGTGAATAAATTAAAAGCATGAGATTGTCACCACTCAAAGAAGTTGAACGTCAGAGGTAGTTAGTAGGTATCATTCTTTGTGAAGGCATAACAAAGTTGTGCCATCTAGGCGCCCAACTATCCAATTTACCATATATTTTATAATTTGGTTGGGTTGTTACCGGTCGGATTTCCTTTCGAGTAAAATCTTAACATTCAAGCTGATAATGTCTAAATCATAGTAGTACCCTCTATTATTTACTAATTGACCAGCCCCAAAAAATATACTAATAATTTTAAAAAGTAAACAAGTGTGGGATATGGATGTTATGTTATTTATTACAAATTTAATGAGAGGGATTTAAATTTCTCCATAAATAACCAAGAAGGCGTGCTTGAGCTGGATAACTTGAGTCACGCCCAACTAGGCCGAATTAATCTATCAGCAAGAAGTATAATAAGGGCTCATTTGCCGGACACAGTGGCGAACCTAAAAAATTTTATTTATATATGCACATTTAGTGGCAAGGGTACTGGGGTTCATGGGTAGCACCCCCTGATTTTTTTTTTTAAACAAAGTTTTAAATGCATTAAAAAATAAAAGAATATAAATAAGGAGGGATTTATATCCCTCCTGTTATATGAATCAAATTTTTTGTCATGTTAAAAAAAAGACCAATTCATTAAACAATGTACCCTCTCACTTTCTTTAATATTATATAATTTATTTTTTTCTTAACATGATAAAAAATTTCGTTCATATAATATGAGGGATATAATCCCTAAGAAAAGAAAACAAAACTTCGACTTAAAATAAAAAATAATAATCAACTTAATGATATGAAAGCACTAAAACATAAGCAGTAAATAAGATGTGTTTTTTTCTTAGTATATGTGCTTGCATTCTTGGCAATGCATCCACTAAAATTACTCCTTACATTTCTAATTAATTAAAAAATGTTTCTCTTCTTTACTAAAAAAACATGTATCTCCAAATTTATGACTGCACTTGCCCACATTGGCAATTGAACAGGTCCGCCAGTGGGTGGGCATGATAGGATAAGGGTAGGATATGATATGTGGCTGATAACGGTAGGATATGATATGAGGTTGATAAGCCTATATCATTTCCTGTGTTTGATGAACACCTGATTAGCAATCTGATAAGATTATGTAGAAAGAGAAAGAAAAAAGAAAAAATATAATATAATACAATAAATACAAATATATTCAGTAGCGTGGGAATACATTGGGTAACGTGAGGATATATTGGGTATCTAATATTAGTATCCTATCATATTGAATCCTAACCCAGCTCCCCCCATAGGATAAGAAATTATGTATTAGATAGGATAAAATGAGACAATAAGATAAGTTAATCATATCCTATTAATCCACCAAACAAGAGATAAAAGTAGGATATGATAAGTTATCATATCCTATCTTTTTTATCAGGTGCTCCAAACAGACCTTTATGACTTTACTTTCTTTTTTGTTAATTTTATTTTCTCGATATCAACTTCGCAATCTCCCACGACGAAGAAAATACAAAGTAAATCAGATTCACCAAGGCTCCGGTCTATTGAAGCAATTAAAAGGGTCTAGTTGTGTTCAATTTTTTTTTCTTCTTCTTAAAACTGTTTTTGTACAATAGTTATGTAAATAAGTGTTTTCTGTATTTTTTTTATTTTAAAAGTTAAAAGTCAAAATATAAAAAAAAAAAAAAACTCAATTATGTGTTTTTTGTGTTTTTTTGTTAAGGTTAAAAGTCAAAACACAAAAGAAAAACAATTCATGCATATTATTTAAATGTCATTCTAAAAAAAATAACAATTTTTTAATATTTTTTTTTACAAAATAGATCTTATCAAACGAGTAATTTTTATTTTTATATTTTCAAAAATCAAAAAATTATTTTTAAAAATATTATTCAAATATGGCCAAATTTTCTGATTCACCTTGTAATCTGTACTAATTATGATGATCTGTGTGAAAAGTTGAAAATAAAAATAAACACAAAAACAGGATAAAAAAAAAGAGAGACAGAATTTTATTTCAGCCAAAAAAGAAAGAAAGAAAAGATTAAAGAGAAAAAGATATGGAATTACTTAAATGTCTTAGGAAAAAAATTAAAAAAAAAAAAAAACTAAAGAACCATGAAGAAAACATTTATATCTTTTCATGAACTGTACAATGCTCGCGAAGTCAGAAGTGGAAGTTGCTTAAATTAAATATTTGCAGGTTGGTCAACTTCCTGGGAACATGACTTTGTTATTAATGGTAGAACAGTCACTGTGTGTTTGCTGCTCGGAAGCTGAAACAGAGCCCACTAAAACACGCATGCTTGCCAATTCTTTTGCACAATTCCATAACAAGGGAAAATAAAAGACACAACCCAAAAAAAAAAAAAAAAAAAAAAAAAAACTTCTGCATCTGAAAAACAGAATAAGCATAAATGGATGCTTTATGTCATTTGTTACAAAAACACAGCACAATTCAGAAAAACTGAATTACAGTTAGAATCTAAGAAGAATTATAATATTATACATATAATAGAGTAACCATATAACAAAATTTGCAGAACATGTATAAAAATGATAAAAATTTGTTACCTTTGGATCATCAAGATATCAGTGCACCAAAAACAAAAATTTTCAACTTGGAAAATCTTCATTGCCTATTGGGTTTTGACAAATTCTCCATCTGAAACTGCAGAGTTCTCGATTTGGCTAATATCATCATCATCATCATCAATTGGAGCAGGAAGGTTAAGATCTATAAAGTTGTTTCTAAACTTTGTTAAACTTGGAACACTGATTGTTGCTGATCCAGGAACATGGGTTCTCTTGTGTCCACCGAGTGCTTGACCCGAAGCAAAGACTCTGAAACAAACTGGGCACTCATGGATTTTCTTTTCCACCACCATAGGAGCATAAGTTCCATTGTTCCCGTGCTCAAATCCTGGTTCATCCACTATTACGTTCACTCTGATCTTCTTGTGACTCGCTTTGTGACCACCAAGTGCTTGATAAGATCGAAACATTTTCTTGCAGGTATCACATTTATACCTTCCTCGTACTCGGTTCTTCGACAATTTTATCTGCTCCTCGGATTCATCACTATCTTCCAAGGATCTCTCGGATTCATCTTCCTCTTCTTCATATTGGTCTTCCGCCAATTGTTTCAAATCCTTTTGTCTCTTCCATTTGTCCCTAGACGGCATCATTAGACAAAATGCAACATCTTCCTCGGCGGTTATATCAGAAACCGAACTCACAGGTTCATGGTCGACCCACGATTCTGTTTTACTAGGTTCGCAAAATTTTACCTTCTTCATCGTGGCTTCATGATTATGAAATTGCTTGATGTTATTATGATGGTACTTATAATTGAACATACCGAGTTTCCATGCCCTTTTGGATCTTCTACGCGTTGGGTTGTTCTTCGATGACTCGGTCTCACTCTCTCTATCTTGAAGAATCACAGTCCCAGTATCCGCAGCAGCGAAAGAAAACTCAGGATTTACAAGGTGAATGCTCCTCTTTGGGTTCTCTCTGAGGCCACAACAAAGACCCTTATCATCATCACCTTCTTCTTCCGAAGATGATGACGACGATGAAGCTGATTCAGCTTCAAAACTGAGTTGGATCGCTCGTGTTGACTCTTCTTCTGGCTTTGTAAGAGGAAGGTTCATCATGTGAGACTTCATATGACCCCCCAAAGCTCTGCCATTGGAGAAGCTCCTGAAGCAAAGCTTGCACTTGTGCTTCTCCATGATGAACCTCAAAAGCCAAAGGAAGAAGAACACGAAGAAACAGAGCAAAAACAAAACAGAACTAAGGCAGAGAGGGTCTTGGCATTTTTATGAATTCTTTCTTGTGTTTGTGAGAGAAAGAGAGAGTGCGAACTATTAAAGGAGTAGGCGACAAGCACTCCTCCGCCAAAAGATATACAAAGCCCCCAAAAAAATGTCAAAAGGGAAAAGCAAATCATAATTTTTTTTTATATTTTTCCTATGCGTGTCATTTTAAACGGCATAAGTTATGTAATTTTAGGAGAGAGATAGACATAGAAAACGAAAATTATGAGAGAGAAAAAGTGGATGGTTTTTTTTAATTTAAAATTTAAATAAAATAATTTATTCTGTGTCTATGTATCTTAAAATGACACAATTTTATGTCATTTAAAATGACAAATATTTTTTTCCTTTTTGTATTTATTATCTCTTTCGTAATTAATTTCATTTTTTCCTTAAAAAAAAAAAAAAGAAGAAGAGAAAAACCTCATTGAATTAAAAATTTAATTTACTGATATTTAATTAAAGATGTGCATGCACCAACAAAGAGAAAGAACATGTAACATGCCATTCTTGCCCGTTTCTGAATTTATTCTCCACTCAATCTCTTTTATTTCTTTTCATTTTTGTTCCCATCTTCAGCCCCCTTTTTTTTTTTTGTCTCAAGTACCCTTTTGAACCATTTCAAGAAACTTACCAAAAACGAAGCAGGACGCTGTTTTTGTTCTTTAATAATGGAAAATGTCATTATCTGATTTTCTGTGGTATCTTGAAATCAATTTTCTAATAGTTTTTCCTATTGAAAAAAGAGAGATAAAAACTATACTTTTTATTCAAAAAAATAGTGAAGGGCAATTTTGAATTTTGCATTAATTTAAAGGAAACTCCTAGGGGTCTTAGTTGCAACGACGAAGCAGAATAAAATAGTTGAAGGCATTCATTCATGACTAACAAAACGACCTCGCCTATTTTTGAACGTCAGTGGGCTGTTACATTCAACGGAGAGATTAATGACAACCTATGTAGCACCGATACGACACGCGACACGTGACACGACACGACACGACACTTCGACACGTCAATCCTAAAAAATTATGTATTTCGACACGTTGGGACACGTTTTAATATTAAATAATATTTTTAATTTATATAGTGTATATTTCATTTAATATTTAATAATTTAACAAAAAAAAAGAAACTAAATTAATAATACCCATCAACACGTTATAAAAATGGAAGCTTTAATAAAAAAAATAAGAACTCGGATGAGAGAGAGATATATAATATCAAATAGAGAGATCAAATCATATTAGAGAGAGATCAGAGAGAAGAAGATACAATAAGAGCGTGATAGGAATCGACAACAATAATGCTGAGATGATCTCTTATCTACTTAAGGGGAAAAAAGACAAAAAAATAAAATTGATATGATCAGGTGACTTTATTAATATATTTTAACTTTAAAAAAAAAATTAAAAAAAATTTAAAAAAAAATTAAAAAAATTACGAAAATGTCATTTGATCGTGTCGGACACGGTCAAATTCGCGTGTCGGAATGGTCAACGTGTCGAAAAAAGTCAACCGCGTGTCTGATACCATGTCGAAGCGTGTCGCCGTGTCGGAACGTGTCGGACCCGACTCTTCCTGTTTTTACAAGTGTCCGTGTTTCCTTGATGACAACTGCCAAAAGGAAGCGTTACAGTTACACGTAACATTCATTACCCACGTGTCGTTTTAATAGCGAATGATTTTGGCAACCACTTATTTATGTTCATGTTTATTCGGAAATTGACCTTAATGAAAAGGAATCTAATTTTTTTTCTTAAAAAAATATACGGAGTTCTGATTCTGTTGCTTTTGAGCTAGTGACTTCAGCTCCAATTGTCTGCAACGGTAGCTTTGGCATCCGGTGGTCTTTTAGTTAGTTCCAGGGGTACGCGGGATTTTGAGAAATTCTCGAGAAACTGAATTTTTTTAAATTTTAAATTTTTAGATATTATCTTAAACTGAATGCAAAAATTATATTTTTGAAAATTGAGATTTTCGGACAAATAAAAATTTCTCTTGTACCAAACGCCCCCTAAATACTAAGTCATAAAAAATATTTTAATTAGTAAACAGGGATATAAAATATTATAACAATCAATTAGGGTTACTGTCAATATTACTACCAATCAATTTTATCGTTAGATCGATTATGTTGATCTAATGGTTATATTTATTTCTATCTTTGTGTGATTATGAATTTCTATATTTAATATTTTATATTTATTTTCACCTTTGTTTGGTTATAATTTTTCATATTTAATGCTTTCACATTAAATATGGGGAATCATAATCATACAAATATGAAAATAAATATAACTGTTGAATCAAAATAATCGATCTAACGGTGAAATTGATTGGTAGTAACATTGTTAATAACCCAAATTGATTGTTACAATATCCTAAATCTTTATGATATTTTATTTTTACATTTCTTAAAAGGAAAAATGTTTGTCATTTTAAATGATATAAAGTTATGTTATTTTAGAAGAAAGATAGACACAAAATAATTTTTTTTTATTTAAAATTTAAATTAAAAAATACCACCCACTTTTTCTCTCCCATGATTTTTATTTCTTGTGTCTATCTCTTTTCTAAAATGGCATAACTTATGCCATTAAGAAGGAGTATTTTTTTATTTTTATGTTTATAATGGGGAGTCGTGTTACGGAGGTTGGTAGTGGATTCCCTTTAATTATGGATTTTTGGTTGAATGAAGTGTGTGATGGGAATGAAGGGTGAGAAGTGGGTAAGAAGCTAACTGTCCTACCTTTGAGAATGGGGGCATTCTAATTCTGTGGAGTAAATGCCGTTTTGTTAGGGGTCGGTAGACCAATTCCTGCTACTACTATCTCTGACTCGGAGTACTTGCCACACACACACACACTTTTGTTTGATTGGGTTTTATTACTGAAGAAAAAAAAATGCATCTTGGCTTGAGGGGGTATGCCATACAAAGTCATTTTTTTGCTGATATGTTCATTTTTTTTTGGAAAATTTACCAATGTCCCTTGGTTTATTCCATAATCATCTATATCTCTATGATTTTTTTTATTATATGTGCTCCTGTGCAATAGAGGACTTAGATTTTTTTTTAATGTTTGCATACTTAGAATAAAAGAATAGAGGAAAAAAAATTTAAAGAAAATTTTAAATATATTAAAATACAAAAGAATATATATATATATATATATATATATATATATAACTTTAACTTAATATAAAAAAAATAATCAATAGTCAACTGAACTGTTACAATAGAACATCTTGGGTCCTCAATAAAAATTACGGGCCTCAATTGAATCTCTTAGGGGAAAAAAATCTACTCGTGATTCCTCAGAATTCAAAAATAGACCTAGATAATTAAAATCATGGTTTTGTGAAATTCAAAAAGACCTACATTAATCCCTCAAAAGGACTAACATGGGTCTATTTTGGAATTTAAAGGTGCAACATCCCGCGAATGTAGGAAGTTATATAATTTTATTAGGAATCGAGGACCATATCTTGAACTTGAATTGTACATATAATTAGAGTGGAATTAATTCGAGTTAGGAAAATTATTTTCGAGTATCCATGCTGTTAAGAATAAGTAGATATATTTTCTGAATTTGAATACTAGTTAAAAGTATGTGATCAATTTTATTACAACGTATAAACATTTTAGCTAATAAGTAAATGGTACATGAAACCATAATTAGTGGGTTAGTACATGTGATGAGTGACCCTTTAGGAAGCTTATCCTTGGACCTTTGGAGCCTTAAGGGTGTCGGCCCAAAAGCCCTTGAGGAGGGCTTATAACCAGCCCAAGGATCCTTTCCTCAACCTTAGCTTATCCTTATTTAGCCTAGAGAAATCAGCATGACTACCCTACATGGGCCAAGCACAACACATGGCAACCCTTATCTATTCCTTCCTCATCACATGCGCATGGGATTGGGTAGGAATTCTGAATGCTTGCCATAGTTTCTAACTCATTCAGCCTTTTAAACATGCAACCAAGGAGAGAGGAGTGGTCAGTTTGCATGTAATCCCATAGGGCAGAAATTTCACACTCCTTCTTACCCTTACTTGTGCGCATGAAAAGGAGAAAGCCAAGTTAAATTCTGATTCTTGTTAGCATGTTAATCAGCCTTCAAGCCTCCATTCTCTCTCCCTAGGCGCTGAATGTGTAGGAAAACAAGCTGAAGATTTATCTCACTGAATCAGACCCAAACACAGCCCCTCAACCTTCTTCAAAACCGTGACTCACCAAAGAAGCACCACAAGAACATAACTTGCAATCCCTCTTCCTCTTAGACCGTGAGCCTTCATCCCCATCCTTTCAAGACCGCTAGTTGATTAGCAAATAACACAAAGCATCATTCCCTCTCTTTTCACTGGTTAGACCGTCAAACAACCAACATCAAGGAGGTAGCTTGTCCTTTCCTAATCTCTTGTTTGCCTCCTTATTCCATGCGGTTTTAATGGGGAAATTCCTTGCTTGCAGCTGCAAATCTGAGTTCTTGGGGAGTGGATAATTCCCCTTGCATGCAGTGGTCAAGCGTGATTCTTGGAGAGTAGAAGGGTGGAAACCTTAGCACAAACGTGGTGACTACACCCTTGACCGATTTAGGTGTATTGTGTGTGTACTACAAAGAGGTAAAGGTTGAACCTTAAGCTTCTCCTTCACTCACTGTTTCGGCTTGTAGGTGTATTTTAGGAGAATATTTGTTCTTGTGTCACTTCTACTCCTTTACCTCTCTATTCGGCCCTCACTTGCATGATAAGAAAATGTTTTTTTTTTGTCATTTTCATTCCCTTGTTTCTGCCATGTTTGAACCGATTGAGTCTTGTGGTTACACGCACTAAGAATCATTTTTTTTAGCTTGGAATATGGTCTCCCTTGTTGGACATTCTGTTTTGTTGAAATAGGAGGAGGTAGCTAGTGTGGCAGGTGTTAAATTCAACTAGATAGCATGTGTAAAGGCCCTTTAACACACACTAGGCTTATTGGAGTTGATTATTTAAATAAAATCTTAAA